CTTGATTTGACTGACGACGACATATTTATTAAACAAATATTTAGAATCTAGTTAGGTTAAGCAACCATATTACAATACATACAAAATTTCTAATAACTGTGACTATCTTACCCTTTTTGTCCTTCATAGTAACTAGCACATCTGTATACCATTCTAATAAATTGGTGATATGCCTAGAATTGCCCTTTATAGCAAAATCAGATAGCTTATTAGCCTTTTATCTAAGCATCTTAATTGCTAAGTCATTTATACTACCAAATTTACTTTCCAGATCTAAAAAATATTCAGAAATTGCTAAATTATTTATATTTATATTCAGATATTGTAAAAAAAAAAACCACTCATCTGATTTCTTTTCCTAAGCCTTTGGGACAAGCACATTTTATGCATTAACAATAAAAGTTTTGGCAACAGCTTATCATACATTTTGAGCTAACTAGATTCTATTAATATCTGTTTTTTTTTACTGACAAATCATATCTAGTCTATCTATTATTTTCTTCATTATAACTATCTTCTTCATTATTTAAAGCTGAAGATGTGTATTGGAATTGTGTAGATAGAAGTTGGAGATAGTAATGTGTAAAATTTGATTTAGCTACAGGTTTTTTGGATTGATTATCAAGCATCATCCTTCTGAATTGAGATGTTATTTAACTGATTTCATCTACTTTCGATTCTATTCTATTTATTTTCATAGATTGTTTTTGTTGAGAGTGAGGTCTTTGAAAAGGTTTTATAGAATAATCTGAATCTAATTTATTATTAGTTATTAAACCTATTTTATTTAAGAATTTAGATATATAATAATTCTGGAAATCTTTTTCTAATTGCAATGATAATAGAAGACCTTTTGGCTGTTTAACTAGTTCAACAGTTTGTGAAGCTGGTGCTTATGCTTTTTAAGTAACTGTTTGCTAAGTCATTTGTAATTGAAAATCAGCTTTTTGCTTTTCTAATAAAGATTAGTATTTAGTTTTTTGCTGTGCTAATGTTTTTTGAATCGTCTTTTGTATATCATCTTTAGTAAAAGCTAGTTGAGAAGCTAAGGCAACTAGTGGTAAAGAATAAAATACTGGATTTATACTAAGTAAGGCTTGCATTTGATTGGAAATTTGATTTAATTTCTCTAGAATCCTTTTACTCAAATTTTGTCTACACTCTAGTTATATATTTTTTAGCTCAATAAAAAATGCATTAATATCTGCTGGATTAGTTATTCTCATCTAAGTGTAAAAATTACTTGTTAAGTGGCTTTTAAGAAATCCTATAACTTGTATATCATTGTTTGCTACTTCTAATAATAGTGGCTGAACTCTAGCTTCATAAGTATCTAGAGTATTATAAGATTGATATTTTTCTTGAATCAATCTTTGTATAGCCAATTGCTGATTTCTAACTGTCACCTATTAGTATTTTGTCTTAACCAACCTTATAATGTATCTGAAGTATTTATAGCTGGATTTTCTATTACAAGTCCATTATTTGCTAGTACTGAAGCATATTTTCTGCCCATTATAGATTTTAAAATATTATACTTGACAGCATCATTAAAATCTTTTGCATTTGCATTTTTAAGAACTGTCATATGCTTTTTAAGATATGCCCACAACTAAATAATCTTATTTAAGTATTCATCAGGTAGTTCTTAATCTATGTAGAGTTGAAATTTTGCAAGAGTGAAAGCCATTAATTTTAATACTGATAAACATCTAGCCTCAGCCATATTTATTTGATTAGGTAGATTATTCTGTAGTGCAAAAATTTGTTAATTTAAAATTAAAATATTCTGGTGCTCTGCATGAGTTTTATTTTTCTACTTCTTATATTGTTTATATAATCTATCTTGATTATATTCTAACAAACCTCTATCGGCTCTGCATCATTGTAAATGGTAGGTATTTTATTGATATAAGATTTGTAAGGCAAATTTTTCTTATAGTAATTCACAAATACAGGTTCGCTTTTCTGTTATATTGTCTAACATTCTGTTTACTTAATTCTGAGCATTAGTCTGTAACTAATTATGCTCCTGCATTGCTTAATTATGCTTCTGCCTGTATATATCATGATTCTATTGTTTGTTTACTAAATCCTGTTGCAGATTAGCATATTTTCATCAGATTGATCTTGTTGCCCTCTTAATTTAATTTTTTAAAATAGTTGAACATATTGTTGTATCATCTAGGGAGTAGTCTATAGTATTGGCTAATTTGGCTATTGTATCTATATCTAAATTTTGATCAAAATTATAAATATCTAAAGAATACTCATCAGAGTTGGATTCATTTTCATTAAAGTTCTATGCTTTTGCATTTTGCAAAGCCTTTCTAGTATTTATAAGCTCTAATCTATTTCTATATCTTAATAAGAATAATGCAAAATTTTAACAAAGCAGGTCTGTAATATGGCTTTTTTTAAGTTATTTTGTTAATCCTATTCATTTAATTAGTTCTTACTATATTTATTTCTCATTTAAGCCATTCATTCTTATCCACTAATTTGGTTGTATAATCTTGTACTTTAGGAATATTTTTAGCTAATTTTGATATTTCTTGTATTCTGGTTTTTAATTTTGTTTTATGTTCATCGAATTCTAATATTAACTTGTCCTTATTTAAAATTTCTTTGTCTTTCTTTTTATTTTTCTTTCTCGAGTTGGTGAATAATTCTTTTTAGTTTTAAGATTTCTTTTTTTAACTCTTCTTTCTCTTCTGTAGAAACTTTAATTATGTTAATTAACTCTTTTTCAAGAAATTTTATTCTTTCTTCCCATATACCAATAATTTGTTCTAAGGTATATAGTTGTTGTTCAAAATTTTTATTTGATTCTGCTAATTGGGATACTACTTTATAGAGTTCTTAATTACTTTGTTGCAATTTCTTTATGCTTTTTTATTTGTTATATTAATTGAAAAATTGCTAAATTCATAAAAGAAAATCAGTATGAGAGAACTGGTTATTTATATCAATTCTCAGAGAGCACATGATCTTGATTGGAATCTTACTTTACAGAAGCTTTATTACTGACTAAAGGGTTATTATCAAACTGCTAAAAAAATACAAAAAAGCCAAATATAGGTTTTCTCTTATTGAGATTAAAAATTGGCTAAGCAGGCAAGCTTTGCATCAAATTCACAAGCCTTGACCAAAGTTTATCCCACAAGTATCTTTTAATAATATTACCATATCTATAAAAGTTATTCAAGCTGATTTATGCTATATGCCTTATGATCAAATTGGAAATAAAACTTATAAATTTGCACTTAATTGTGTAGATGTTGCTACTTGTACTAAATGAATATATCCTTTAACTAAACATGATTCTGCTAGTATAGCTAAAGAATTTGTAAAACTTTTTAATTCTCAAATATGCTCAATTATCTGGTCTAAAGTTAAAGTTTTAATAGTAGATAAAGGTGTTAAGTTTTAAGGTAATATTATAGAACTAATGAATAAATATAGTATTTAAATTCAAATAGCAAATTCTAAAAAGTCTATAGGTATTGTTAAAAGATTTAATCATACACTATAAGAGTAGGTATTTTTTATTCAAGATAGTATTGAAATGAGATTACCTTCTACTAAATGCTATTGAGCTTGGGTAAAAAACCTTTCCTAATTCTGTAACTCGACTTTTAGGTATTTCTTCTGCTAAAGCTCAAAAAAAAGAACATGTCTTTGCTAAAGCTTCTAAACTATGAAAAGAACTTATTGGGTTTGATGAGTCTAGATTATCCTATAATGTCTTAGTAAGATATTTGCTTAATTCTGATAAGCTAAAGAGAGAAAGAAGACATGCAACTGATATGAATTGGTCTCCTCAAGTTTATTATATTAAAGAATTACTGATGCAAAAAAATTAGCCAGTCTTGTACTAGCTAATAGATAATAAAAGCAATGATCTAAAAAGATCTCTTGTAAGAGAAAAGCTTTAAATCATAGGTCTGAATACAGAATTATCACCAAAATAAGTACTTACAAATTAAATTTCTAATTTATAGAGTTTAAGTATTTTATTACTTCTTCTGTAGATCTTTTTTGTATAACTTTTTCTTGGTTTGCAAATAAGAGATATAATTTGTATAACTTTTTAAGACTCTGATACACTTCTTTATTATACCAGTCTTTGAAATCTGCTATTCTTTCATTATAAGCTTCCTTATTTGAAGCTCATTGCTTTGATATATATATGCAATGATCATCTGGATCTCTTTTGCATTGCAATGTTTTCAAATAACTCACATATGCTAATCTCATTTTGTCATATTTTTTTTTGCCTTGACTATTGCTACTTTGATTACCTCAACTAATGCTAATTCGATATCTTTATAGTTAATCATCTAGTATTGAATGTTTGTATTAATATAGCAAAAACTTTTGTTTAAAATAAAATATTTATTTCTTATTACTATGATAGATGAATACTATTGTAACTATTTACTTATAACTGGATACATTTGAGGACAGACCTGTCATCGGCCTGAAGAGTGTTTTGAGCATTGAAAGGCTAAACTCTGCTTTCTCTATAAGGTTTGTGGCAAGCTGATTAGCTCTAAACCCAGCCTTTGTAGAAAGCATTCTGATACCTATTATGTAATCCAATATTTTAATAGACTTCAGAATAAAGCTAATGCTAATGATTTAATCTAGATGAAAATTGATAAATTATTTCTAGAACTGTTAGTGAACAAAACTAAAGAAGCAGAAGAGCAGGGTCTACAGATCAAAGCACTATAGGTGACCAGCACTATTGCTCCAATCATGAGTAAAGAATTAGAAGATACTGAAAATGAAGTTCCAATTTTCAAGCCTGGTAATGAGGTTATGATCCTTTAATCCAGAATCATTACCTCTAGTAATATTTCTAAAGCTCTGATTGATTTAGATAATGAAAATATGGGTATTGACCTCTTTAAAGATTAGTTCAGGTTTATATACAAAAAATTTACATCTAGTTCAAAAAATTTACATATAATTTATTTTTTTTTTACATCTAGTTTAATTTTTTTTTACACACTCAGCTTTTCGCATTTTCTGCTGACTTTTTTTTATTTGCCTCTTGTTAACAAATTAATGTTTTTAAAATTAACAAGGCTTTAAATATACAAGAAAACAAATTTATATTCTTAAAGTTAATAAAGCTTTAGATAAATAAGAAAACATATTACTTTTCTTTAGGTTAAGAAGACTTCAGATAAGCAAGAAAACAAATTAGTGATCTTAATAAGTAGAAGGTGTTAAAGAGCATTCCTGGTATATAAAAATTTACATCATCATATAGACTTTTTAGCTCAATTTTAAGACCAAGTAGGATAACAAAAAAAATATATTATTTTTTATATATGATATTAAGACCCAATAGGTAGAAGAGTATGTTAACTGAGTATATATTTTTTTACATTTTTGGTCTGCATATGGTCTCTGCTATATAAGTCTTCTAACCCAATTTTAAAGTCAAGTAGAGTATTAAACAAACCTATATTTTTAAGCTTAACAAGGCTTTAGATAGGCAAGAAAAGAAATTACTTTCCTTGAAGTTTACAAAGCTTTGGATAGGTAAGAAAACAAATTAGTGAACTTAATGAATAGAAAGGGTTAGAAAAGATTTTTGGTATATAAAAATTTACACTATAATATAAAGAATCTAATTCGATTTTAAAACTTAGCAGAATAGCAAAAAACTATATCAATTTTTAATATAGTTCCTGAGATTGGGAAGTGTTCAAATGGATTCCTGATATGTGTAAAAAAAGTTTGCTCACTCTTTCTGCTGCTCTTTTGTCTTGTATTATTAAAACAGTTGTATTCTTACTTTGTATATTGTATAAATAGTTTTTTTTACCAAAATAAGCTTTTTTATTTAGGTTTTCTTCCATAGTATTTGTTGTTTTGTCTATTTTTTATTTTTTGTTTTTGTTAATTTTTATGTTTTAGAATCTACAAAAAAAGAGTTTTATAATATTATAATGTTATATAATATATTTTTATTATTTAAAATGTTTTTTTTTTTTAATATTAAGATAAGTACTTATAATTTAGAATTTTATTAATAATATATTTTAGCTAATAGCTATTTGTATAACAACTACAAAGGCATTTATAAAAAGAGTATACAATTAGTCACTTGTACAACTTTAGTTATTGTTTAATTTAAGTAATTTGCTTAAAGGTTTTATACTAGTTGTTATATTTAGAATCTATTTATAGGTCCTTTATTTAAATATTTTTGTTTTTATATTTACTACTGTTATAGAACAAATTTTATTATTATATTTTAGTATAGTTTCATGAATGTATATTTTATTATTAATTGTTAGTATTA